CCCCCCACCCCAGCATGTGATCAGCAACAGGGGGTGACCCGCCACATCCCTACATCCCTCCCAGACGCCCTTCAGAGGCAGCTTCTTGGCCAAGTGGAGATGGACCCTGACCCCCAGCCTAATGGTTAAGTGCCACATTGGGGCCGGCCTCACGCCAGGGGACCCAGGCAGAGCAGGGATGGGAGGGAGCTGGAGTCATGGTTCCCAGCCATGGATCTGAACCTGGCTCCAGGCTGTGGCTCTCAACCAGTCCATGGGTGGCATGGCATTAGCCTGTCTGCTGCTGGCTGTGCTGGAGATGGGTCAGAGCTATCCAGGGGCACCAGTGGGTCCCCCAACCCATGGCAGGGCCTGGGGTATCAGGTACCCACTGTGCATCTGTCTGCCCATCCAGTCTCAAGCACATCTGTCTATCTGTCCCTATCTCCATCCATCAGCTCATTGAGCCATCTGTCCATCCAACCCCACACATCTTAGCCTGTCCCTCCAGTCACACCTCTATCCACCTATCCATCCATCCCCCACACCTCTGCTCAGCCATCCATTTATCTATCCATGGGTCTATTACCCACTTCTACCCCGTGGGCATCAAGATCCACATACCTCAATCCGTCCATCCATCCATCCATCTCCCCATCCTTTTGTGTATTCATCCCGCCACTTCTACTGTCCCATCCATCTCCACACACACACACGTCCATCATCCACTCCCATACAGCTCTGTTATCTATCCATTGATCCATCCCCATACACACCACTTGCCTGTCTGTCTATCCATGCATCTATATATACACACACACTGCCCTGTCTGCATCTCTCCCCATATACCTCACTCGCTCTGGATCCATCTTCCTACAGCTTCTCCTGGGCTCCCCATCTTTGCCCTCAGGGCTCAGATCCCTGTTCTCACCAGACCATTACACTTTGTCCCCACGGATGCACATGTGGCTGGCTACCTGTTCCCTGGTGGCTCAGTGGGAGAGGTGTCTTAAATTCCAGTTGGTGTCAGCGGTGAGATCCCCTCTAGTTGGTGTGAGCAGTTGGATATCTTATCTGGTGCCCCCTCCTGGCCCTACAGAGATCTGCATTCACTGAAGGCTCTCGATCTGGCCAGACTTCCACCTTCTGGATCTGTAATCGAAAGAGCAAGAGTCCAAGGGCAGAGAAGGGGGAGAGAGGAGAAGAGAGGACAGCAGCCATGAGCTACATCATTCGACCCTGGGCTCTGAGGGACCTGAAGGATCTTGTGCGGCTGATTCAGGTGAGAAGCAGATGGAAGCAAAATTGCACCCCCCAGGGAATGGAGCTGGTCAGGAAATGTAGCAGTGGATGCAGATAGAACCCAGGTGTCCTGGTTCCCAGCCATTCCCCCGACTCTAACCCTCGAGCCCCCACTCCTTTTCCAGAACTAGGGAGAGAAACCAGGAGTCCTGAGTCCAGCTGAAAATTACCCCATTCCCAGAATAGCAGAGATATGGGCAGGTTAAAAAGAGGATCAGGGCACTTTAATGTGGGACATAACAGCTGTTTAGCTAGGGATCCCTCACCCAGCGCCGAGATGCACCCACCTCTGGTGCAGGGCGGCTGCTTATGCAGTTAACTGAAGCAGGAGCAGACAGCAAGTATCTGTTGCCTCTTACAGGAAGCTGCAGCATTTCACAAGGCTTTGGATCAGGTCAAAACTACCCCCAAAGGTAAGTTGGTGGGGCGATGACAGGAGCAACATTCATGGCTGCATTTTAGTGCGAAGGGGGCAGCTGCTTAACTGTAAGCACTGTAAACCCCCATGTTCCTGCCCCCCTACGCCAAACCACCAGCCCCCACTTCCCTCCCAGAGCTGGTGAGAGAACCTAGGAGCCCTGGCTCTACCCTACTCCCTCCCCTGCTCCAACCCACCAGCCTCCTCTGTAACCAGCCTGGCTGGGCTGCCCGTTTCTGGGACCAGGCTTGGCTGTATCTCTCTCCCTGGCCCCTGCAGCGCTGAGGGAGGACGGCCTCAGGACGCACCCCAAATTTGGCTGTCTGGTTGAGGAAGTTCCCCCTGAGCAGAGGAGCAAAGAGGGTGAGACATGGGAATGGGGGGAGGGGAGAGGATGACATACGTTTGTCCAGCAGGGCGGGGGCTGGACAACATTTGGATGGGAGACTCAAGCGGGGGGCATTCTCCCCTGGGAGGCAGGGCTAGCCCCAGGGCAGTGTTAGGGGGTACTGTGGGGCAAAGAGCAGGGGGTGCTCTCCCCAGTCTGGCACCATGGGGCGCTGTGGTGCTCAGAGGGAGGCGTTTGATTCCATAGAGTGCAGCTTATATCACACCCTCCCCAGAGCTGGCTGCATCTCAGTGCCAGGTAAGGGGTCCCTGTGTAACCAGCTGCTCTGCCCAAGAGGTGGCCGCATTACAAGGCCAAGAAAGGCTAAACCTTTGCTGGCTGACATCTCGTGTCTCTGCGCTCGTTGCTGCTTTGTCCAGGTCACACGATTGTCGGGTACCAGTTCCACTACTCCAGCTACTGCACATGGGAAAGGTGGATCCTTTTCGGTGAAGATCTGTACGTGATGCCGGAGTTCAGAGGTAGGGCGCGGTGTGGCAGTCAAAAGCAAGGTGTGGGGCTGTCACAGACTCACAGGTTGTGCCCATACTTGGCCCCATGGTTCCCGGGAGAACCCCTTTCAGTGTGACAGCCCCTTCTTGGGGGGGGGCACTCTCTCTTGGGGGTTGAGCCCCTGTGCGTCATGGGACTGTACCTCCCTGATCCCTCAGCACTCCTGGTTCTGTCTGGAGCCTTTTGGGGAGTCCACTCACTCCACTCCCAGAGGGACTAGTGCAGCCCTGTTCTCCAGACTGGAGCGACTCTCAGCCAGGATAAAACAGGAGGGTCTTTTGAACATCTGGACACACAGGAACTCTCAGGCCTGTAGGCCTGGCCCTGCTCAGCCCAGCACAACCTCTCCTGCAGCTCCCCAATTGCCCCCTCTCCCCAGATGGCAGCCTGCGGCAAGTGCAGCCGGGCTGATGGCCGAGTGGTGTGATGTGCCCAGTGTGGGCACTCAGGGCACTCCAAGCCAGAACTTCTTTGCAAGCGGGGCACCCCTTAGAACTGTGTGTCCGGGGTGGGGGTCGGGACCCTTTAAGCGCAGCCCTCGGCTAGCCTGAGACAGCATCTCCATGCTCTAAGTCCTCCTTTTATGCCCTGCCGGCACTGCTTCCGGCCATCCTTAAGCCCTGTTCAGAGTCCACTCAATGTGGACTTGCTAGTTCGAACTAGCAAAACGCTAGTTCGAACTAGTTTTTAGTTCTAGATGCGTTAGTTCGAACTAGCTTAGTTCGAATTAACTAATTCGAACTAAGTTAGTTCGAACTAGCGCTGTAGTGTAGACATACCCTGAGAGAGGACGGCCTCAGGACGCACCCCAAATTTGGCTGTCTGGTTGAGGAAGTTCCCCCTGAGCAGAGGAGCAAAGAGGGTGAGACATGGGAATGGGGGGAGGGGAGAGGATGACATACGTTTGTCCAGCAGGGCGGGGGCTGGACAACATTTGGATGGGAGACTCAAGCGGGGGGCATTCTCCCCTGGGAGGCAGGGCTAGCCCCAGGGCAGTGTTAGGGGGTACTGTGGGGCAAAGAGCAGGGGGTGCTCTCCCCAGTCTGGCACCATGGGGCGCTGTGGTGCTCAGAGGGAGGCGTTTGATTCCATAGAGTGCAGCTTATATCACACCCTCCCCAGAGCTGGCTGCATCTCAGTGCCAGGTAAGGGGTCCCTGTGTAACCAGCTGCTCTGCCCAAGAGGTGGCCGCATTACAAGGCCAAGAAAGGCTAAACCTTTGCTGGCTGACATCTCGTGTCTCTGCGCTCGTTGCTGCTTTGTCCAGGTCACACGATTGTCGGGTACCAGTTCCACTACTCCAGCTACTGCACATGGGAAAGGTGGATCCTTTTCGGTGAAGATCTGTACGTGATGCCGGAGTTCAGAGGTAGGGCGCGGTGTGGCAGTCAAAAGCAAGGTGTGGGGCTGTCACAGACTCACAGGTTGTGCCCATACTTGGCCCCATGGTTCCCGGGAGAACCCCTTTCAGTGTGACAGCCCCTTCTTGGGGGGGGGCACTCTCTCTTGGGGGTTGAGCCCCTGTGCGTCATGGGACTGTACCTCCCTGATCCCTCAGCACTCCTGGTTCTGTCTGGAGCCTTTTGGGGAGTCCACTCACTCCACTCCCAGAGGGACTAGTGCAGCCCTGTTCTCCAGACTGGAGCGACTCTCAGCCAGGATAAAACAGGAGGGTCTTTTGAACATCTGGACACACAGGAACTCTCAGGCCTGTAGGCCTGGCCCTGCTCAGCCCAGCACAACCTCTCCTGCAGCTCCCCAATTGCCCCCTCTCCCCAGATGGCAGCCTGCGGCAAGTGCAGCCGGTCTGATGGCCGAGTGGTGTGATGTGCCCAGTGTGGGTACTCCGGGCAATCCAAGCCAGGACTGCTTTGCAAGTGGGGCACCCCTGAGAACTGTCTATCCAGGGTGGGGGTTGGGTCCCTTTAAGCACAGCCCTCGGCTAGCCTGAGACAGCAGCTCCACGCTCTAAGTCCTCATCTGATGCCCTGCCGGCACTGCTTCCAGCCATCCTTAACCTCGGTTCAGGGTCCACTGTGTCCCAATCTCCCATCCCCATCCTTCTTGCCTTCACTTTTCTTTTAATTTAGCATATGCCTTTGATTCACCCGTTCCCCCAAAATGGAATGAACATAGCATTTGCTGCTATTATATTAGTCACTGTGCTTGTGCTGTAGTTTTTTTCCCTGACATCCTATTTAGATGAATTATTTAGATGGAAAGCTTTTTTGTGGCATCTACTTCTCCGTTGAAGTAGGTTGGTTGATACTTCACTTGGTTGATCCTTCAGCACAGCCATAATAAAACCTGATTAATCAACAATGGACTATTGAGTCCTTAATTAGCTATGTAACATGCTGACTCATCCTGACAATATTAATCTAATGCATATTGTACAATATGAAGAGAGCTTCAAGCTCACTGAAATGAATTCTATACATACAATACAAATGGTGTAGTGTAGACATACCCTGAGGGACACTGAGGCTACGTCTAGACTTCAAGTTTCTTTTATTTGAAGCTTTTTTCGGAATAGATCTTCCGCAAAAACTTCTTGTGCAAGAGAGCGTCCACACTGCAAAAGCGCATTGAAAAAGAAATGCGCTTTTGCGAAAGAGAATGTCCAGATTGCCTGGATGCTCTCTCACAAGTAAGCAGTGATTGCATGGACAGAATGGCCGCCAGGGTACCTGTGCTTTCCTTTTTTTGAACGAGCTCCTTCAGAAAAAGGCTTCTTCCTCATAGAAAGAGGTTTATCAATGTCGGAAAAACCCCTCCGTTCTTTCGACTTTCTGTCAAGAGAATGCAATAGCAGTGCAGACCTAAATGTAGTTTTTCTGGAAAAACGCTGCAGTGTAGACATACCCTGAGTGCCAACCACTCTGCAGGCAGCCCCTTGGGAAATGCAACAAATCCCCCACTTTGTCACAGGGACTCAGAAGAGGGCACTCTCCCCAGACACTGATACCCGGCCTTTCACGGAAACAGTACTAAGACACATGCATGGTTATGAAAGACTCTCCAAGTTGGGGACTGAACTCACAGATCATCAGTAGGCAAAGGATCCCTGTATTGGGGATGTTAATAATCATGTTTAGTGTAAATGTGCAACCGCTGAATTTTTTAGCTGTTACACCTTTATATGCAGGGGGCAGGCAGGAGCCTTTCAAGTCATCTCTCTGCAAACACTCCGCCCGCCTCTGATAGGTATGTACAGGGAGACAGCTTGAAAAATGGCTTCTCATGTGTACCGGCTCTCACCTACCTCCCTACCCACCGCAGTGCTGCCGCCCCTCTATCTGAGGCAGCAGTGCAGGGGGGCAGGTGGCTCTGCAGGTGCCGGCATGCATGAGGAATGAGCTTAAAAGCTGATTCCCCACGGGCCCTGGCTCCTGTCTCCCACACTATGAACAGAGGCAGCAAAGAGTGTGTGTGTGTGTGTGTGTAACCATTAGGATTAACCGATGAGCCTGGGCTTATCAGTAAATTATTTAAACGACCACATGCTAACATCCCTACCCTGTTTTCCAGCCACCCTGCCTCAGAGGTGCTGCATCTCAGCGCCAGGCGAGGGTAAGTTTAGTAGACCTGTATGGCCGATCTGCCCTAGAAGTGAGGCCTGTGGCTTGTGCTCTCTGGGCTGTGGGACCAGCTGATCACAGTGGCTCTGAGATCATGAATCTCCAACTGGGCAGTTTCTGTTCTTCTCTGCAGGCAGAGGAATCGGCACCAGTTTATTGAACCAAGTGGCCAAGGTGAGATTAGCTCAGAAATTCAGTCTCCTTCCTCAGTAGGCCAGGTCCCAGCTGTGTCCGTGCTCCCATGGGGCCAGGTCCCAGCTGTGTCCGTGGTCTGTCAATGCGTCCATGATCCCAGCTGGGGCCAAGGGGCTGTCGCTGCGCCCAAGGGGCCAGGTCCCAGCTGTCTGTGGGGTCATCAGTGTGTCCATGATCCTAGATGGGGCTGTTGCTCAGCTGGAATCAGTGGGGCCAAGCCGCCAGGTTACTACCGTGCTGTGTGGGGCCAACCACTGCTTTCCTACAGCAGTGTGGGTAAGACGGCGCTGGTTCGGCCACTATGGGTGAGTCAGTAAAACAGCTCTGCCCTCCTGCAGATTGCGCTGGCCTCTGGGTACACCCAGTTCCGGTTCATGTCAGCCAATTGGAACCAGCCTGCCACGGCATTCTACGAGAACCTGGGGGCAGTGAACGTGTCGGCAAGGGACAGCTGGAATGTGTGGCACATGGAGGGTCAGCGGAAGATAGCAGCATGGGTTACACAGTGAAATGCTGCTACCAGGAGGCAGCTGGGGAGAAGACACACCTGATTTAATCCACCAGCCCTCTCTCCCCTCCCAAAGCCAGCTGCACTGATCTAACCCACCAGACCCCTTCCCTGAACCAGGGAGAGAAACCAGGAATCCTGCATAGTCAGTACTGCCTGCTGCCAGAATTTGACTCTGAGCTGTGTCCACATCTGGACTCTGTGCTGGCAACAGATGGCGCCCCCTGGGAGTGCCACAGAGTGTGATCTGTCATGGGGTAGCAGGGCTCCTACGGCTTTGAACCCTCGTCAATAAACAACAGTGTCAACTCGCCTGTGACTGATTCTGTTTTGGGGGTGAGGGTGTAACTTTCCAAGTCTTCAGGGCCACTTGAGAAGTGGAGCTGTGAGGTTTATGGGCCATGGTGCAGGGGCTCTGGGAATACCCTTGGCTTGGGGTCTGGCTCCATCAAAGTTTGGGGCCAGGCGAGAGATCTGCTACCTCAGATGATTTAAGAACCTGGTGGCCCCCACTGCAGTGTGACAAAAGTAGCAACCCTGCCCATCCACGCCGCATGCTGCTGCCAGCACATCCCCACGGGCCTGGGCAGGGGAGTCTCTGCACGGCCTGCCCTGGGCATCCCTGTGGCCAGTAGGAGCTGCGGGGACAATGTGTGGGCAGCAACACATGAAGACCCCACCCACCCATCCACCTAATCACAGAACCGGAAGAGACCTCAGAAGGTCATCAGGTCCAGCCCCCTGTTCTAGGCACGACCAATTCCAACTAAATCAAGCAGCTGGTTATGCAGAGATCCCTCACCTGCTGCCAGGGTGGGGTGCCCCAGGTAAGCCCAAACCCCAAGCTCCCCCCAGAACCCACCCTTCCCCCTCCTGCCCCCAAACTTCCTCCCAGAGCCTGAACCCCTGGCTCGTGAGTTAGAGGGGGCGGGTGAGGATGGGAACCAAGACTACTCGGCTCTGGAAGGGCAGTGGCGGTTAGTGGTTAGAGCGGGAGACGCTGGGAGCCAGGACTCCTGGGTTCAATTCTGGCTCGAGCCTCCTTTAAGCGGGGGGGAGGGAGCACCTCTAGGCGGGCGGGGCCAGAAGAAGTGCACATTGGGAAACACCATAAACTCCCCAGCCGGGAGCCCCTCCTCCTTCCCTTAGCTCCTAGCTGCAGCTGGCCCGGGGGGACGCGCCGAAGCGAGGGATTCAGGCCCCAGAGCCGCGGGGGGCCCCGGCCCACCCCCAGCGGCTCCCGGACTCCGCAGCCAGGCGATCGGGGCGGGCGGCAGATGGGGTGGGTCGTGCGGCCCTGCCGGGGAGAGGACTGCGGGGGAGG